AGCTTATTTTGCAGATAAACAGGAAAGGCTTGATTGTATACAAAAATTCAAACTATTGTTTGCAAAATGTGACGACCTGAAGGGGGCACCCGGATTTGAACCGGGGACCTCTCGATCTGCAGTCGAATGCTCTGCCACTGAGCTATACCCCCTCGCACAAGTTAGCAGCTGAAATTAATCCATATTTGAAGGAAATATTTTTGCTTTATTTGTGTACATAGTTATTGAACGATTAGTTGTATTCGCTGAGCGAATGCAGAATTCAGTTGTAAATTTCATTCATTTATCGACGTGTCTTGCATTTTGTTCAGTTAAGGATTAAATAATGAGAAGGATGGATGGCAGTTGCTCGGAGATTGCTATCACTTTCTTGAGTTACGCTGAAACGAGACAAAATTTTTCTAGTTAGTTAGCACTTTGAATTTGCAGTTCATGTGGTTAGATCTCACCCATACAGCTCAGAAATGTCCTATATCTATCATAGATTAGCGGTCTGTTTTCTCAAAATTTTTTAGCTCATCAAGTAGACTATTAGATATTGCACTGAACAGTTACGCAACTCTGTGTCATTTTTATTGCCTTTATTCTTTTCTGATTACAACTTTAGTCTTTGATTTAAATTTTTGTATTATTTTCATTTCATGGATGGATGTTTTGTGGCACAGTTTTTGATTAACGTTGTGTCTACAAAGAGTAGAATTATCAAGCTTATTTAGTTTTGTTTCAGGACATGCTCCAGTGAAATGTCGGTTCTAAAATACCTGAAATACCTCGTCAATTTATTCCATTTGTGGTTTTTTTTTCCATCTTTGCAGGATAAGTATGGAACAGTTCTTCCACGAATTCTGCATTTGCAGAACTGCTATACGTTTTGACTTAGTTTGCTGTTAAGTTCAATTAGACTAATAGTTTTTCTATTGTAAGTTTGTGCTGATTGGGACAATTTATACGATTCAACTAGGAGTTTCTTTCATTGATTGATACGCTATCATTGATTATGTTTGTTTTGTTTTCAGTTTTGTCTAGAAATTTTTTCCAACTGCTACAGAATTTTTTGTTTCTCTTGAAAGACCAAAAAATTGCTAACTCGGAAAAGAAGGAGCCAAAAAGTTTGTGATTATCCTACTTTATGGAAAATTTTAGATAAATGTTTTCATTATTTTGATGGGTTTTGTAAATGCTGCTGATTTGTACACCGCTCATTTTTTTGAGCTATATGGATGAGAATTCAACCATACTGATTCAAAAATCAAACAGCTCAATAACTTCCAGAATTTATAAAATGTACAATACCGAGAGTTTTACATTCAGCTTTGAAATTAAATGCTGATTTTCATTCTTCAATATTTGAAATTTTTATTGACCAAAGTAATATGGAGGAAAAAGGTTATTGTCTCCCATTATCGACCAATTTTAAAGTGCCTGCTTTAGTATTATTAGTACTGTAAGTTATCATTTGATAAGCAGATAACAAATTTATGTGATGCATCAAATTCCCCGATAAAAATGGGAATTAATGTGATGAGTGGGTTCTAGCTTGATTTTGTTCATTTGTTGAATGAAGTAAATTTATTCACTGAAAGATGAGGTTATTTTTTCTATATTGACGTGAATCGTAAAAAAGAAGAGAGCTAATTTATAATGACGTGTTGATCACTATCACAAGTCTTATTTACATTATTTTGCTTAGCAGGAATTAAACTTTAAGTCCTTCATGTCTTTTTTTCAGGTACTTGTAAATGTTGCATTTGTACTGCTTTGAAAAAAATAAGCAAAAAGGTGCAAATTTTTCTGCTTGAAGTGTTGTACGATAGTCGTATCGAAACAGGTTAGTTGAATCTTATTCTGAATTATCTTGTCTTACTGCTTTTTTATATGCATAACTTAATTTATTTACATTTGGTGTTCTTACTTTCAAATAAAGAAAAATATGTAGTAAAGTTGAATTCTACGCGATTTTTTATTGAAACCAAATTAAAAGCCTTTTTGAGTGCATGAAATTCCCTAAGCACATGTCTATGATATGAAATACTGCGCAGGTTCTTAGTAATATGTTTAGTGTTCTTTATAATACAATAAATTATATTATTTGGTAGTGAATTTTAAAAACTTTGCTTACAGTATCAACGACTGATTCTAGTGGAATCTTCGATTTAAAATCTAGTTTCGAGTAAAGGATTGAAGATATTGAGTATAGTAGTTTTGGAGCAGTGATTATTTCGATATTTGCAATGTTTTTTGTGCTTATTATCACCTTCTATGCAGTTCCAATTCTTGTGGTTTATTAATTCTCGTGCTAATCAGTTATGGAGAGCTGTTCTTTTACTCACCATACAACTCTTAAACTTTGCAGGTTTTTAAGAAAAATCAATGGACTCCAGGGAAGTTGATTTAGAAACAGTAAGCATCATACATTATTGTTATTACTTGTTTTCAAAACTTGTCCAACAGAACTGAGAAACGTAGTACTTTTTTTAGCGTTTTACACACGCAGCATGTACCTGTTTTTTCGTACGTTTAAGATTATCTAATAAATGTTTCTAAAGGATTCCATGACAACAGTCTAGGTTTCATATTTTTATCACTTTTGTAATGAGGAGAATAAACCCATCACCTGATGAAAATTAATATATTGACTTTCCAAAAAAAGCTATAAAGAGAAGAACAAATTTGTGATTTATTTCGATTCTATAATATAACAGTTAAGTGTTATAATAGTCAACTGACCATAAGTTCTCATATGTTAAAATTTTTATAACAAAAAGTAATAGACGTCTTGGCTAGTAATTTATTGTTATTTCAGACTTTTCATATTTCAAAGCTTGTCATGAATAATTTTCCGAAATATGTTTTTAATCTTTTGTAAATTTACAGCCAGCTGGTACTTTAGCTGATGCTCTTGCACAAATATTTATGCTGACAACTCGAACGCAATTACGACAGCAAGCTTATCAGATGTTTAATGTGGATAACAACCGAGACTTTGCTCTTGCTGTTGAAGCTCGCTTGAATAATTACTTTAGAAGCAAGCAACAGAAGCTTGATAAGAGGTTTAGAATTATTTAGTTTAATGCAATACCTCATTGTAATACCTTATTTCTTTAAAAAGCAATAATGATGACATGAACTTCTGATGCATATTTTTTTTAAAAAAAAGATGCTATATAAAAGCCTGGTTCCTCTATCAAGTTGCAAGAAGTTATACTAAAAGTTGTCTCATTTAATCGTGAAAAATAGAATTACCTTGGCTTTTTATAAAATATCATCTTTACTTATTTCAGTAGTACCATTCATTTAAGGTCAATTCTACAAATACGTGAAGAAAAAGATAATGCAAGCGTAATCTTGGAAAATTTTCTGAAGATGGCAGGTTTACCGCCGGATGAAGTAAAAAAGTTTTGTCAAAAGGAGTAATTTTTTCTCATCTCTATCCTATTAGTTTCTGCCTCTTTTACATTTATATTCTTTATACTTAATTTCTGTTAGAGAATTTTAAAGTGGTGATAAAGTTTAGCTATTCAACTTACTTGATCAGTATGGAAGTTACAAATGATGTAGTAAAAAATAGCTTGAGTTATTTTTGGTTCTTTTTTCCGCTCATTTTCGCTGGTTAAACTTCCCTGCTTGACCTAAAGTGAACTGTAAAAATTTTTCTTGATCATGTTTTCCTTCTATGGATTTTCTTTTCTAAATGTTTTGTACGAATTATAGACTCCGTACAAATCTAAATAGAATTTGCCGTATTAGAAAAGACTTTTAAAAAATATGCAGTTTTCTTGCTATTTCGTCTCTATAATTTTCGTTTTTTCAAAGTTCCTTTAATTTCTTGTATTAATTATTTTGTTTTTCCGCCGTTTTTATTACTGACATGACTAATATGTTTCTTATTTGGCCAAATATTCTTATTCCGCATTACAATAATCCTTTTCTATAATATGTGGTATTAATACTCTCAAGATTCATGTTCCATATTTATTAAGAAGAACATTTCACAGCTTATGTTTAAAAAAAATTTTAAATTCATAACAATTTTTTCATTTCAGTTTCCGTTCTGAAATAAAATTGCTGGAAAAAGTCATACATGAAAGGAATCGTTCACTTCTTCATTTGGTTTGTGCTTCATATTGTTATTTAATTATTTTCAGTTATTTAAAAAATTCTCTCATAATTATTCTAAATCTTGACTTGACATTTGACATTACTTCAGCTTTCCCAAAAATTTCAGGTTTTACCCTAATTATGCGCGTTTATTTACCATTTAAGTAACTGATTCATATTTAGTACAAAAATCCATTACTTTTGAGAATTAAAAAGGCTCGTTTTCAGTTTTTTTGCTGACAAATTCGTATGCTATTAGGCAAAAAATATCCTTTAAAGCAAAAGACTAACACAGTCAGAATTGATTTGTCATGTACAAAAACAAAGGTACAAGAGAACTCGTGGCGAGTGCGCCATGATATTTGAACTTCAGGATAGTTTACTGCTAAAAAATATAAAGTACTTTATTTTTTGTTAATGAGTATTCTTTATTTGATGTATAGCAAAAATAATTATTTCAAACTGCTATAGGTGGGAATTTTGTGAAGCAAAATTTTCTTACAAGCTAGATGTATTTCAGAATAGCTCGTGTGAAGCTCGTCAGACAGAACAAGGAAGTAGTCGTATCTCGCTGAATAGTGATCTCCACTCTTGTAAGCTTCAAAAATTGTTTGATTATAATCCAAATTTTCCATCAAAAAATTTTTTTGCACATCTAGTGTCTTTATTTAGTGTGGAAAGTGCGAATTATTCTTATTTAAAAAGCTATTTTCTCGTTAAAGTTGAAGAAAAATTTTTTAGGTTTGTTTAGAAAGTTCAAGAGTCATTTATTGCAAGATCAAGAAATTGATTATAAGATGAAATCAGTTCTTTAAGATCGCCGGAATTGTAAGCGGAAACATTCCGAGCACCTGGAGAGCGTTGTATCTGCTAGAAAAATCAGTGGAGATGATTACTCCTCAACTTCAGAAAATGATTCAAATATTTCATTTTTGATGGTAATTTCGAGTTAATAGATAATTCATTTTTTTAATGATTTAAATGTGAATTGTTATTGTGGAAATTAACAATCAAAAATACGTCTACAGTAGGGGCAAATCGTTGTTCTACTTAAACTAAATAAAAATGAAATAAAATTAATAATGTAATGTAATACATCACGTTAGTTTTGTTAAAAAAAATCGATATAATTTTAACATTCAGTCTCTCGGATTGTAGTAAAAGTTCAATCACATGAGTTTGTTTCTGCCTTATTCAGCTTATTTTAACATAACTTCTGAATACGTTTTTACAGAAGAGAAGATCGATTCCCATCGGTCATAACGGGCCATTTCATTGCTTAGGTAAAAATTTTGATTTTTCGAGGTTTTCATGATATGTAGCGAAAGTACTTAAAACTTAAAGCAATGTTCCCATACATATTATTTAATTTTATTCAGAACCAAAACAGTTAGTCGAGACTGGAACAGATGAAAAAATTCGAGCTGGGGAAAAAACAACTTTAAAGAGTTTTCAAAATTTTGATTCTAATCATGAGTCTGCAACAACAAATGGTGCAAAGGTTTTTTATGCCTTAATTTTTTGTTACATCATCAGATTTTCATGAAGTTCAGCCGTCCTCAGTTGTTGATTTTTTCAGAAAAACACATCAATTTCGAGCTCTCAAAATCAACAATCCGATTCTGGTCAGTCAAATGAATTAACGTTTTTTGATCCATTTCTTATTAATTGGTTTCTTTCGTCAGAATTTTTCAGTTACCGGTTTTTATCGGAGAACTTTCTGTTCCTAAAAACTATTGCTGAATTTGTCAGCAATGAATAAATGAGAACTTTTTATAGTAATTAATCAAGTTCATCCAAATTTGTCATAATTATTCGTAATAATTGTTGACAGCGTTTAGAATAAACGCATCAGAAATATTATTTATTTAAGAAAAGTTTCCTATTATACTGATTTCTTGTCTATTATGTGAATGTATAAATATTAAATATTTGGTGCTTTAAATAATTTATTTTTTCAAGTAATTTATATAACTTTTCCAGTTAATGTCAAATTCTCGATATGGGAAGGTGCTGAGTTTTCCTCGACCGATAGTGTTGATTCTTTAGTATCTGATGATTCTGAATTTTCTTCAATCAACAGTATGCAATCCGATAATACTGAGTTTTCATTTGATGAAACAGAATTTTCATCAATCGATGGCGCAGAATTTTTGAAGTCTGCTAAAAAAGTAGTAGAAGGAATATTTCACAGTGAATGCTTAAATGGTGAGCTTTTAAAACTTGATTTTTGTTCGGAAATTAAAAATTTCAAATTTAATCTTTGTTTGGAAATTAGGAATTTCTTTCTAAATCGCTTGTTTGAGGTAAAAACTACATATATTATATTATTAATGTAAGTACTGCTATTGTGCAAAAGTACTTTGAAATTGACATTTGATTCTGGAAAGATTTCATATTAAATGTTTTTCAAGATTTTTTCATACTACCAAACTGTACAATAAGAAGACAATATTTCGCATAAAACGACGTTTATATGGCTTTTTTTAGAGTACGGAGATCATTATAACAGGTTCGTTGCTAAGGACGACTGTTTCTTGCTGGTATGTCTTTTTATCATCTTAGAAGTCGATTTATTGATTTCCGTAGTACTCAATTATCGCTGTAATGTGTACATAGCAAATTTTCTAAATTTTTATTCATTTGTCACGAAACGCTAATAAGATAACGCTAAAAATCTATTCTGCATATTCCTTGGATAAAATCTAGGCTTTTTTCAACTTTCGTTTCTGTAATACAAAAACTCCGTGCTGCGTTTTCGGGACCATATTTTCATTGTGTGCCAGTTTTTATAAGTTATACTTTCAAAATATTTGAATCTTAAGAATGTCGGTGTGGCCTGCAAACCACTACGAAAAACCAAATCATTATCGTTTTGAGAACTGTAAACCTTCATAATCAGGTATTTATTTATTTTTATATTACAGGAATTAGTAATTATTGAGGAAATTATTGTTTTGAAAATTGTAATTTTCTCGCAGATTGATTTCTTCTGTTATATTCAAATTCAATATCTTTTCCTTCTTGTTATCTTGGTCATTTTGTGCTTTACAGGTTTGTGGAAGCTAAGATTATTTTTTGTACGTAAAGAAATGTGGCTGTTGCTGAGGTATGCTGCAGTTGAAACACAGATGTGTTTTGATCGATTCTTATGTAACATTGGTCATCATATATTTTCTGTGATCTAATAAGCTGTGGTTGATTTTATTGAAGTGAAACATTGATGATAAGTAAAGTTCTGAAATAGATTATAAAATTTATTCACGGTGATAATCAGTAAGGCTGTAATCTCCTCAGAAATTTTTGTTGATGGAAATTACAGAAATGGCATATGATAATGTTTATTTTGTTTTAAATTTTTTGTGTATCTGGCATTTTCAGATCTTTGTCATTTCGAAAACATACATCTTTTGAGACCGTAGTGTTATTTTTGCTTTTTGTCGCAGATATGCAATAGTTAAACATGTAGTAGTTATTTTGAAGCGTTTTATTTTTAACTCTCATGCTATTGTCGGTATAGTTCTCAGCTTTTAATCTGATTTATTGTCTAATGCCACTTTATTTTGAGGACGAAACTATAGTGCCATTAGAAAATAAATCAGATTAAAATATAAAATAAATCACGATCACAAATGAATCAGATCAAAATATGAAATAAATCACGATTGTGCAATGAATTTGAGTAAAAGTGTTTTGCAGTGCTATTAGCTGACAGAGCATACAATAAAATGCCATTTGGATTATTTATTACTATTTATTTTTAATAATAAAGTTCTATTTTGAAAGCGTAGAAAGATACGGATGTTTGTTCATTTATAATTATTCTCATACTTTATATCAGTTAATAAAGTGATCAAAATTTTAATTTTACTCAGTCATTTGAGATCAGTTACCTTGTTCTTATTAGAAATTTTATATTCTCTTAATTACTACGTAAAGCAGTTATGAATTGATACGATAGTTCTTGTCACTCCTCAAAATATCGCCTTTCTCTATGCTATTTTCCTGTATTATTTTGTTGAACTTTTAACTGACTAAAACTAATTAGTAGGTCCAGTTAGCATCGGCAACTTTCCAACGATATGAGCAGTTCACTCTCAACAGGATCAGGTAGTCTAATTTTTTGAATAATGTCAGAATGTTGTCTTCTAACCAGTGTATCCAAAATCTCTGTGAAAGTCTGAATATTTGCTATCTTTCTCCAGTAATATGAGTAGTATTTTCTCTTCATTTTAGTTTTAATTGCTTTTCCAGAAGATTTTACATTTTTTAGTTTCGGAAATCTTAAAAGATTTTGCTAGTTGGCCAGAACGATGTGGTGTCAGCAAGAAATCAGCAGATACCAAAGCTTATGTGATAGGAATTGGTGGTTGCACAAATAGTGGGAAAACAATGCTTTCGAGAATGCTCTCAAATGCGGTATACTTTCTGAAAAATTTCAAGCTTGAATTCACATGGTTGTAGTATTTTCACTCAACGCTTCCATATTTAATTGTTGCTTAATTAATTACAGTTAATAATTGAGTGCAAGAGAGATTGGTAATAATTAGTCATGAAGGAAGACCAGTAGGAATGTTATGTTTAACACTTCATTATTTCTAGATTTCCAACTATCCTTGTGTAAGTGAGTATATTTTCACAGTTTTCTGTTTTTTAATGACTGATCATATGAGGAATTCAGGAAGCACATATTTTCTGCCATCATGAAATAGGTATTATTACCTAACATTTGAAGTCAACGAGTTCTAATATGACGCATTTTTTATATTCTGCAACGTTCTCTTTTTACAAAGAATTTTTCCTACTGTTTTCTACAAATTGTTCATGCAATATTTGCCATTTTCAGCTTGTAGAAGAAGGTATTAAAGTAGCAGTGATTTCTCAAGATAAATTTTATTATCGCAGAGAGGAAATCGAGCAAGTTGTAAGCCGTGCTAATCCCGAAGTCATATATTATAACTATGATTCAATAAGTGCAGTATGTTAATCATAATTTTTAATTATTTTTCAGTTTTGTACATAGTATTTTTGGTTCATGCATTTCATATTTCGTAAAAGTCTTCCAGATAAATACGGTTGAATTTATTATGGAAATACAAAAACAAGCAGGAAGTAACGATTTTGTCATCGTTGAAGGGAACATGATCATGGAAATTGAAAATTTGCGTCATTTGCTCCATCGATCAATTTTTATCACACTTAGTCGTTATTTGTGTGAAGAAAGACGAACAGGTCGTAAATATGATTATCCAGACATGCCAGGGTACTCTTTTGCTCTAAATTTCTCCTGATGCTTTAATTTATGAACTGTAAAATGTTAGAACTAAGTCCTCATCGTTTCTATACATTTGAAAACTATTCAAAAAAAATTCATGGTATTTTCAAAAACAGCATTATTGATGGTTTTTAAAAAAACAGGACTTAAATAATTAAACAGCTTACAAGGTTTGCATCATATTTACTTTCGTATCATTTCAGAGGTCTAATTAATGAATTTATGTTAGGTTAAAAATAGTGTTGTCATTATGTCATTAACATGATGGTGTTGGGTCGCGATTTGTGATAAAAGAAAGTTCGAAACGAGGCATGTTTATCAGTTGCTAGAGAGATTTATAGTTTATGAGCTTCGTTTATGTCAACGTTGAGTTTCAGTGAAATAATTTTAAAGATTTCTAAAACTAAATGAAATTTACATATTACGCATTTTACAAATATTAGTAACTATTCTTGAATTTGAGATATCTAGAAGAAATTGTCTTTCCTGCCTACAAAGACCATCTGTCTCATGCTTATGTTCTTTCTCGTCAGTCAGTCGATATTACTTTTATTGATGGAAGCAGGATAAATTTTTATAGCGAATCACAAGTTAAGAATGTAAGTTTTGACTTTTTAAGGTACTTAAGAACTTCAAAGAAAATCTCCTTGGTTTTGTTCTAAAGTTTTCTGGGCGCAATTCTTGCAAGAAGATCACTTTAATCCCTGTAAATTTCAGTTGTTTTGTACGCTAACTAAAAATCTGTTATTGATTCAAGACGGGGAGTTGCAGATATCTCATGCAGTAAAGTTTGTCAGTACACCGAAAAGTGGTGGCATATCTGTTTTTTTAGGCAGGTTTTTTTAAGTTTTGAAAGGCATAATACACTGTATTTCTCATTTGTTCGACCCATACCACACTATTCTAAGATATGATTGGAACAAATGAGAATAACTGCAAATTTTTTTTGCTGCTGTGTAACTGCTTAATCGAATATTCAGTGAGACTGATTTATTTTTCTATTTCCCTTAGGAACGACGAAAGATAAGAACAATGGAAAAGAAGTTGCGTATTTAGAATACGAAGTTTATGAAGGAATGATATATAAAGAATTGCAAGCGTTATGTGATGAAGTGCGACGAAATTATCCGGCAGTTGAAAAAATTGCTATTTTTCACAGAGTCGGGTCAGAGTGCACAATGTTTTTGGTTTTTTTTTTTTTTTTTT